ACCCTAAATAAATAATGGTAAATCAAAAACTGAATTTAATTACAAATAATCAATAAAATAACGGTAAATTATACCAGTGACCACCCAACTATATCCCCTTTTCATTTTAACCATCATTTTTGAATTTTTGTCAATCGAGCCACCTAACTATTTAAATATTTTCAATCAAGACACTTTCTGTTAACAATTAACGGAACTGCTGACATGATAGTTAATAAAAATGGTATATTTACGCATTTGGTCATCAATATTTATACATTTTGTCAATTTAATCATAATTTAATTTAATAAATCTAATCCTCTAATCAAATGGCGACATGTGTCATCATTTGTGATTTTGTTTACATAATATTGTATAACTTGTAGTGTGTTTAACTGCCAAAAAAAATAAAACAAGAAAATTACTTATTCTGGGACTTAAACCTAAGCAAAATATATGATTAAGGACTTATTCAGAAACTTTAATCTCAAATCAATTCAAAATTAAAATAAAATTTTTACACTTTTAGACAAAATTTAATATTTTTTCCTTTTCATGATAATTCAATGATTTTAACTTTTATATTAAGTTGAAAAATATTTTTCAAGTGCACATTTTGTCCAACAGTTATAAGTTTATAAATTATAAAATAAGCACGTTATATGATGACAAATAAATGTTAGAAATATAATTTTGACTCTAAAAAATAATTTTCAAATCAAAAGTTTTTTTTACTTTTATTTTCGAGTTAAAGAAAAATGTATAATATATATTTTTTCTTTTAAATATTATTGTTTAACATTGTTTATAATTTCAAAAATATATTTAAAAAATAATGATGAATAGGTTAATTTAAATGGTTAAAATTTAAAGATAATTGTTTATACATTCTATTTAAAAATTTTAATTTTAATTTTATATTAACTTAAGATTATTTTATAGGTTAATGGTTAAAATTTAAAGATAATAGTCAAAATAATGATGAATATGTTTTCAATTCTATATTTTCAACAATAGTTGCAATATATTTTATACAAAATTATGTAAACCAATCTATAATTGAAAGCTTGGCTCAGTGGTCAGTCCGTGTGGGATCATCAATGACATAATCATCATCGTTCTTCTGAACATGCGCAACTTTCCTAAAGAACCATTGCTTCACGAACTTGTCAGCCTCATCTAACTCGTTCCGACTCCTCCACCTCGGTTAAACTCTCCCTCTAAATCTTATTAACTCGCACTTGCGGTGAGTTCTTCAGCTGTTGCACCACCATGTGAAGCCCCGTACTTGACCTCCAACTGGCCTTATTCTTTGTAATAATTTGTTGTTCGATTTTTGAGCTTTTTGTTGCGATGACGAAAAGTGTCGCGAGGGCAATAAAAAAATATAGAAGATGGAAGCAAACCGATCATATCTGGTCGATGGTGGAATTGTTTTGTGCAAGATTGGCCAAAGGAACCTTCTCTTGAGTCGTGGTTTGCTTTTGGATAATTTTGAGTTCGAGTTTAATATCTCATTGGAGTCATGTTTCATGAGCGATTGTAGTGATGTCTCTGGCGAGAATAAAAAATGGTTTTATCTTCTTCTATTTGCTTTGGATGCCATGTTTCATATGACGATACACGATTTCTTGAAGGATGTGTTAAACACTTACGGGTAGCTTTGTTTGTGTGTTTCAAGCGACTCTTGGCCCCACAGATACGAGGAAATAGAATCTCTAGTATTTTTGAGAGGTTTTCAAGGGGGAGTTTTCTTTCGATATCTACAATCCTTCTAAAGAAGGTTAGGACGTTTTCAAAGTGAGTGTGAGGCCTTCTGTTCTTTATAGATTCCCCTTAGTGCCTAAATGTGAAGACTCTATGACAATCTTTCTGGATTAATCCTAAAACTTTTGAACATTTCAAATTTCATCCCTAAATTATGAACTTCATTCCCCCAAACTTCTTGAACATTCCGATTTCATCCCAAACTATATGTCTATAATAATCAAATCCCTTGTTAATAAAATCGTTAGGCCAAATTATATTATGTATGAAGAAAAACAAAATAGATGTTAAACTATGATTGAAACTAATTACATATTTAGATGGAATTTGGGACGGAATTGAAATATTCAAAAGTTTAGGGATCAATTTGATCATAGTTTGAGGATGAAATTAGAATGCTCAAACATTTAAAGACTAATTTAGAATGAAGGTTATAATTTAGAGACATATGATGTAACTAACTCTTTCTATAATTATAATTATGATTGTAAAAGTAACTCTATCTTGTTAATTATTTAATATTATCTATTAAATTTAGAGGGGAAGAGAAGGAAATGCTCCCAGTGAGCCTAAAACCCATAAGCTAAAAGAATATGAGAGAACAAAATAAACAATTCGATCATAAGGCCAAATATACTTGCTCAAAATAATTTATTAAATTAAATATTTATTAATAATTTTATTTTAATAACAAACTTTAATAAAAAAAAGCACACTATGTAGTTTTGATTATGGGTTACCAAATTAAAATGTTCAATAATAGTGATATCTTGAAAATTATCATTTTCAGCCACTTTTTGTGGGGCTATGAAATGGGCAGTGTGGTTAACACTGGGCATGTCTGGCTGCTTTAACCAGCTTCTTTCACTGCCAAAAGACTATAACTTTCATGTAGAACTGTGTATGGAAGGCAAACATATAATCAACTTTCCAATGTCACATTCAACAAATACCCAAGCTGAATCCGAAAGTGTTCGATACGGGGACAGGACATAGGCACAAAAAGGAGAACCCGAATCCGAATACTATGTGTTAAATACGGGCACAAGACATAGGCACATGAAGATAATTCAAATGTAGCATCAGAAAATTAGCCAGGCACTCTCCTAGGACAACCAGGCATTTTCACCATTGACAAAGCATATACATATCTTTTTATAATCTACAACTTACTGAATCAACAATCTATGAGATCAAAGACATTATCAACAATAGAGACCAAAGAAACAAGGAATAGTACTATGTCCATACCTATAAGCTTGCAAGTCAGACATCATTATGCCATATAAATCCGATTCTCAACATTTGTTTGATAAGCCTTGGCAAAAAAATTGTATGCGACAAAACCATGCACCCCATTCTTTTAAGGGGAATTATCATCTATCATATAACTCAAAACAATCAATGTTTACTTGTTTAATTATCTACTATATTCGTCATTATCTCTACTTCTGCTTCTGTGTTTCGAAACTTTTCTTAGTCCAGGTCTAGACTCTTTTTCATAGCCTCATAAACCATATAAGTAATGCTTGCAGCTGGGACAACTTTGAGAAGATTAGGACAGAGACCTTTGTAGAAACCTCTATAGCCTTCATTCCGAAAGGTTCTCCAAAATACATCGGACATTCCCTTATATGCAACTTCAGAGGTAGTATGTTGAGCTTGCAATCTGAAAAAAAAAAGATTACAACCGAGCAATAATAAGAAAATATAATCAAATATAAATTATCCAAAAAAAATAATAAGCAAATATAACAAAACTGTGGATGCCAATACCGAAACCCATATATGATGATGCAGATGAACCCAAATTGCCGAAAAACAAGGGACTTGTACACGTTATGATCATACCTCGTTCTAATAACCTGCAAAGGATAAACACAGGTTGCTCCTAAAGCTCCAGAAATTGTCCCACAGCCTAGTTGCACAAGAGGACCAGGTTCTACAAAGAAAAAAGAAAGGAATCCAGAAGAAACTCCCTTGTTAACGAAAAACTAAGGAACCAAAACAAAAGCAGGAATGAAACAAGCAGTGGACAGAAACCTACCACTGTCTTCGAGAATATATGTCCTCGAGAGATCTTTCAAGGTCTCATAGACAGCAAGGTCAATGCCAGCATACGGGATAATCCCCAGAAGAGATGGCACAAGACCTTTATAAAATGCTCGAGGTCCCTCCTGAACCCAAATATCCTTGGTTAATTTCCCCAGATTCGGAGCTCTTCCACCTTCAGAAGCACAAGTCTGTAACCGAGTTTTTACAAGATCCATTGGGTAGATAGCAGATTGTGCCACTGCACCTGCTACGCCACCAGCAATAAGTCTCCCACTGGCTCCTATATCACCATTCTTATCCCCCATACTGTCTCCTAAAACATTCTTTAACATTTCATAGGTGTAGAACTTGATAGCACTTTCAGGGGCTACCTTCACAACATTTAATCCATTACCTCGAAAAAACCCTAACACACCATCTTCCTTCCATATCTTCTTTAGAGCAGGCAGAATACTAGCACGTGTAGTCTGCACTTGCAAAACCACCTTCAAGCGATCGAGAGGAGCAGTTGCAGTGCGAGAAGCTGTTCCTGCTATTCCTCCTGCAATAAAATATTTGCTTCTCTTGACATGTTTACTGATGCCTTGAGGAATAACAGCGTGTTCTCCGATATCTACAAGGCAAACCCTTTCCCAATGATGATAAATGTTCTCAATAGTAGCTTCATGAGGATAAAGTAGAAGGAAGTCTCTCCATTCTTCAATGTTATAATTCCATTATTGTCCTATCAACATCTTCTCAAATCGAGCAAGCTCCTCATCATCAATTTGAATCCCTGCAAAATACAAACTGCCAGGGCTAATGAGAAGAAAACATTTATAAGGATTAAATCTGATTAATTGCAACCATGTGTACAATTAGCCCTTCCACATGAAACATTTATAAGGATTAAATCTGAGGAATCATGATGCACAAGACAATCATATTTCATTGGATGCAGAAAAACTCAAGAAGGAAGCACTTCAATAAAGCCCACGAAGCACACCATAGTCGATTATCATAGAAGCAAACCTACAGTTTCCCAAACTCTGAAAATCCCAAATAATGATTCAGAAAACGAGCATTATATTCATAATAACAGACACAAGTCCAAGTCTGTGACATGTTTTCTCCTTACAAAAGAACACCATAGATGCCTACATATAAACCACAAAGATACTGTCTCAAACATCCAACAAAACTAAATGGCACATTATAGACAACGAAGACACATCTCCACTATTAAGCCAAAGAAACTGACACATGAATAGGACCGACCACATGTCTGAAATATCAAGCCAGCAAACTTTCCTTAGATTGTGGCAAACGTGCTTTAAAGCTCATACACACCTAGGTATCTATTATCAATTTAAGAACTGAAATAAGAAGATTAATATAACCATTCAACAGAAAACTAATATGGCATGTGAAGCTTTATTCCACCTCATAATCTTTCCCTTGAGACAATTTGAAAGTAACACTTTGCACAAAAACAGCAGAGGCAGCTGGCTACACTTGAGTATAGCCTAATCCAAATCGCTTTAGAAACTTGAACTAGAAAATGTACATAACATAGCCAAAAGTCTATATTACCAATTAAAATACAGCTCTTGTTACTCTACAATGATCTCCAAGGTCAAGGTTTACCTTTCTTTACTTCCATTGGCCACTCAAATGTGAAATGGAAAGTTGTTAAACCACAAGACATTGACAGCAGCGTGTGACATTCAATTAAACTTCCATTTTAGGTAACTTTTGAGAGTACAGACATCAAGTACTAAAGGAACCACATCACACCAGGTAAATGTACGATGTCTGTGACATGTTTTCTCCTTACAAAAGAACACCATAGATGCCTACATATAAACCACAAAGATACTGTCTCAAACATCCAACAAAACTAAATGGCACATTATATAGACAACGAAGACAACATCTCCACTATTAAGCCAAACTGACACATGAATAGACCGACCAACATGTCTGAAATATCAAGCCAGCAAACTTTCCTTAGATTGTGGCAAACGTGCTTTAAAGCTCATACAACCTAGGTATTATCAATTTAAGAACTGAAATAAGATAGATTAAATATAACCATTCAACAGAAAACTAATATGGCATGTGAAGCTTTATTCCACCTCATAATCTTCCCTTGAGACAATTTGAAAGTAACACTTTGCACAACAAACAGCAGAGGCAGCTGGCTAACACTTGAGTATAGCCTAATCCAAATCGCTTTAGAAACTTGAACTAGAAAATGTACATAACATAGCCAAAAGTCTATATTACCAATTAAAATACAGCTCTTGTTACTCTACAATGATCTCCAAGGTCAAGGTTTACCTTTCTTACTTCCATTGGCCACTCAAATGTGAAATGGGAAAGTTGTTAAACACAATGACATCTGACAGCATGCGTGTGACATTCAATTAAACTTCCATTTTAGGTAACTTTTGAGAGTACATGACATCAAGTACTAAAGGAACCACATCACACCAGGTAAATGTACGATCCAAGCCATTTACTGAAGTATTAAACGAACTATGTCATGCCGGGTAAATGTATTATCCAATCCGAAAGACTGTCTCACTCAAACATGAGTTTGAAAACCACCACCCGAAAACAAGGATTTAAGCACCAGAATACCACAAAATTAAAGCAATCTGCCACCAAAATGCTTTACAGTCCCATCGTTGTTCATAACACTTTTCTATATTAGTTTTAATCACTGCAATTAGTCTCCAAAAAAGTTAGACAATTGGTAATTCATTAAAAAAAATTATACAAAGGTAACAAATTCTCAGGCAAACACATACAGAATTACATAATGCACAAAACCAATGGTTGCAAATGCTACTAGTTGAAGGGAAATTAAAAAGATCACAGCTTCATTTATAAGCAAATAACCATGCGTTGTGCGAAATGCGAATACTATGATTTCAAAATCAACCCCAATCATACAACCACCTCACCAAACCAGTCAAAACATGTCAACGTAAGATAAAAAGCTAAAGAAAACAAAAATCCCTCTATCATTATAAACTAAAAAAAAAAAAAAAGAGAACATAGCATACCAGCCTTAACAAGGGCATCCCAAAGCTCCTCAGGCAAAATGCAGCCATTATGTTCCACATCAATAGCTTGGAAAATCCATAGAGTTCAAGCTCCTTATCATCATATACCTCTAAACTCTTGATAATCCACACGCCCATCTCTGTTTGCATCGCAAACTCTCAACAGATCGTTAGCATATTTATACTCAGCCGGAATCTGCAAAGCTGAAGACCATTTTCAATCTGAGCATAATCCAAGAACCCCACATTGGCTGCATCAAAAAAATTGAACAAACTTCGAATTCTTAAATCCCTTTCTTCCTTAGTCTCCTGTAATGCTAAAAGAACATGATCCATTGAGACAGGTCCGGGTTTTTTGACCGGGTTGCAACATCCGGGTTTGGGTTTTGCCTCCATTTTAGGCAAGCCTACATGCTCCACGCCCTGCCTCGCAGCCCCGGACATAACAATGACAAAACGACAACGCTTCTAATTACCTTACGCAAATTTCACCTAATTTCCCGATAAATGTTATCCCTTGGGGCTGTTCTTCTTCTCTGCAAGCATGGAGGTTCGGAAAGAAAGAGATCTGTTTTATACAATTGGGAACAAAGAACATAAAAGAGACCCTATTGTTTGAGGCAGAGAAATAATGATACACCCCAAAGAATCAATTAAGGATCTAAGAATTTGACTCGAATTACTGAGGGAAAAAAGACAAAAGATTCAAACTTCCCTTTGGTTTGAAGAGAGAAACGGTCAAATAAGGAAAAATACGGTCAAATTTCAAAGGAACAGGCTTATAGCACATCAATTGAGATAAATTCCAAGTCTTCTTAGCCTAAGATAAAAGAAACAATGAAAGAAGCAATATTACGGCAGAGTAAAAGAAAAGAAAACGAAATAACAAGAAAAAAGCTATTATTGAAGGTAGAAGAAAGAGTAGTAGTTCAATAGTCCAGATAATGAGATAGAACGTATTGGCTCCCAAAGCTCTTAGATCTTCCAAAATCACTTTTCTTTGAGAGCCCCAAGTCAGAATTAGATACAGTAGGAGATTAAAATTTCTGGGTGTTTGGGAATTTTTTTTCTTTGATATTATGACTTCGCTTTCCTTTGCTTTCGCATTCTGTCTACCACAAGAACATGATTGAAAGAAGCAGATGCTACTAGAGAAAAGGAAGATATTCTTTCAACTGTTAAAGTAAAGGGTAAATTACATATATAATCACTTAATTATTATTTATTTTTAATTTGAGTTATAATTTTTTAGTTTTATTAATCAAGCTGTTTAATTATTTAAATGATATCCATCAAGTCACTTGTCGTTCACCGTTAACATTTAACGAAAGTGTTAATGTGACAATCAATAAAATTGATATAATTACACATTTAATCCTATTTAAATATAATTTAATAAATTAACTATTCAATCAGGAGGTAACACATGTCAACACATAACCATGACGTGTGTCACCACTTGATTAGAGTTTTTTATTTTTTAGTGTCCACTTGATTAGTGTTTTTTTTATTTTTAATTATTTAATAAATAATATATATATATATATATAATATATTATATAATATTTAAACCCATAAAATCGCCTTAATGGTAAAAGAAAATGTTGTTTTGTCTAGGTTCGAGCAACTATATTTGTAGGGTATGTACGTTGTCGGTTGATTAAAAAAATTCTAAACATATACTACATTGTAGTCACCCAACTATTCAAAAAAATAAATAAATATATAGACATATTCCTTTTCTTCTTAGTTCAATGTGGAATGACAATACATTTTAAAAAAAATGTGGAATGACAAGGCCCTTGAACATACGTACTGTCGTCAGTGTTAGGCTGACTCGATGACAAGTATTGCATGCATATTATCTTTTTAGTAAAAATTTGTAAGAAAATTCTAAATTTAAAAACCTTTGTATTTATAGAAATGATGTGAATATGGATCAATTTTTTTAATAGAAAAAGAAGCTAAAGCTTTACAACTTAGAAAACAGCCCTGCTAGGGCTATTTGAGTCTGGAGCTAAACCTTCATTGATGAACGGGGCAGAGCTAACAAAGTAATGGTCTGGTCCTTGGTAAAGAATATTTTATAGCAAATCTGCAGCATAGTTGTCTTCACGAGGAATGAGAATTAAGTTTATGAGCCAGGCGCTATCATGGAGGGAGGCAGTGGCTCTAACCAGAGAGGAATGACTAGAATGAGCATTTGTAGATGTGACCATGTAATAAACGTCGCTACTGTCAAGTTGGCATTGAACGTTTTTGAAACCCTGGGACCATGCAAGATTTAATCCCTCAAATAAACCCCATAACTGTTGCAGAATACGGCTATCAGATAGAGCAAAATCGCAACTGATAATTTGAAAATAAAGATGAAGATAAAAAAGACACCAATTTTACATGAAAACCCTCTAATTAATATGGGGTAAAACCACGGGCAACAGTAGAAGAATTTCACTATGAGAAAATATGAATTACAATTTCTCTCGATCTAACAGGGAGAAAACAATGATAATTTTCTCTTGATAAAAAGAATGATAATTCTCTTGATAAAAAGGAGAAAACAACTCTCAAGAAAACTCTCTAAATTCTCTAGTATTGAGTGAAAGCTAGAATGATTTGGGATGATTTTGAAGCTAAATGGGTTAGGTATTTATAGTTGAAGCTTAAGGACTAATCTTGTAAATACCCTAAATTATAAGGACTAAATGTACAATTTTTCCATGTCACTTTTCAACCATTATTGGTGCCAACTATGAACCATTATTGTTGCCAACTTTCAACCACCTAAAGATTAGCCATTAATTTCAACAAGTTGGCCACTTGATGGTCACTTACTTTTCAATAATCTCCACTTGAAGATTTGATTAAAACAATCATATCTTCACACCATTCTTTCTACCTTGTACCATCATGTTGCTTACGTCTCTGACAGGCCATAAGAGGATTGGTACCAAGTAAATTTATCAGCGTTGATCACCTTCGTCGTGAAATCTGCTATGTTGTTTTTGGTATGGATCTTCTGCATATCTACCGTCCCTTCTTCCACAGTTGTAGAACTTTAAATTCTTCTTGCTTCTCGAATTTGATCTACCATGTTTGTGACTGTTGCTTTGGTCATTCTGTTGATCTCCCTCTCATCGTTGTCAATGCTTCTGCTTGTTGCAGATTTACTTGTTTGTCTTCCTTGTTCTTGCAC